TACAGGATTAGAGATAGAGACCGGCTCAGAGCCTAGAGTTACAGGATTAGTGAGAGAGCTCTCAAGTACTTAAATCACCTCACTGGGGACTGGTCCAAAAGCTAGGATTCAAGGACGCAATTATACGAAGAAGCATGGGCGCTGCCACGGTGACTGATCTCAAGCGCGGTATTGTGTTGAAAAGGTCCATCCGTTGGGCTCCTTCGACAATGCAGAAGACCAGTGACTGGTATTATTTCTCGAACTTCCCCCCCTATCTCTCTCTTACTCTAACATGAGTGCCTGTTGTCACCCTCAAGAAACATTTCCAGATTTCTAAGGGATGTTAGCCTTAGGCATACTATCATACTATAGTTTCCCTGAAGTATTGCACATCTACATGCAGTTTTCAATTATATGCATGGCAGAAAAGAAAATATTAATAATAATCAAGAGGCCCATGAATTACGATTTTCGTCTAGACACGAGACTTACTGTGCTATGGATTGAACTTTGTACACATACACATGCACATGCACACATATACGTCAAAAATAGCATAGCTTGATGTTCGGGTGTGCTTGTGTGGGTGTAACATGCAGTCACTGATGTGACATATGACGGGTTACTGGCCATGATGGTAAGTAACCACAGCATCCATCTCTACTTGTCCATTCTAGACATGGATGGTAAGAGATGTGAGAAGCATGATGGGTACATCAGAGTCTCTCTCTCTCTCTCTCTCTCTCTGAGGGTTGTATACGATGATACTGTTATTTATAGGGGTTGTATACAATGATCCTGTTGCAAGGTCAAACACCTCAAGCCATCAGATGTAAGATCAGATAGCTTGGGTGTCACTTCTCTGCACAAAATAAGATAACTTCCTCGGATTTTTAGTGTTTCACTCCTCACCATCATATCTATGGCTAACAATGATTGTAATCTTTTCCTACCAAAGGCAAATGGTCCTATTATACTCTCTATCTCTCTCTATATATCTATATATATATATCTCTCTCTCTCTCTCTCTCTCTCACACACACACACACACACACACATGAGAGAGAGAAACTCGGTTGGTTCTGTGAAGCTTTTCCCCCCTCCCACTCTAGAGCCAATTAACATAAGGCGCACATAAAGTCTTAAGCATTACTAAAGATTTAACTATTGCTTGCAGGCTCCTCACAGATGTTCCAAGTGATCTCACGGTGGAGGTGGGGAGTAAAAACTTTTCTCTCCATAAGGTATATGCTAAAACCCCTAGAAACAAAGCCAATCCCCAAAGCCCTTACACCCAATTATATCTTTCTACATCTTCCATTCACCCATAAAGAATCCTAAACTTGCGAAATCGAACTGATTCATGTTCCCTAGCCCAATGGTTTCTGTTTTTCTTTTTTTTTCTGAAAGAGATTAATTCAAGTGAGCTAGCATATCTAAATGGTTTCTTCATCTCTCATTGAAAGAAGAAAAATAAAGGAAAAGGACCATAACCTAGCTGTTGTTTTTCTATGGACAGTTCCCCCTTGCATCACAAAGTGGACGCATCCGTAAGCTACTAGCTCAACCAAAGGATGTAAAAATAACTAAAATCAATCTCTCAGATATACCTGGTGGACCAGAAGCTTTTGAGCATGCTGCAAAGTTTTGCTATGGAGTGAGCCTAGAGATCACGGCCTCTAATGTGGCTATGCTTAGATGTGCAGCTGATTATCTCGAGATGACAGAAGAGTATGGACAAGGAAGCTTAGAATCAAGAACAGAGAGGCATTTGAATGAAATCGTGATACCAAGCATTCCCCTTTCAGTTACAGTCCTTCATCGATGCGAAACCTTAATTCCATCGGCAGAAGAGACTAAGATTATTTGCAGGTGCATTAATGCCATTGCTTCCAATGCTTGCAAAGAGCAACTCAGTTCGGGACTATCCAAGCTTGAACACAGTGGCTCTACTAAAGCAACCAGTGAGACCCAATTAGGTTTTGGTCCCAACCAACCCGATTGGTGGGGCAAAAGCCTCATCGTACTCAACATGGACCTATTCCAAAGAGTTTTAGGTGCAATGAAGTCTAAAGGCCTAAAGCAAGATATCATAAGTCGGATCCTCATGCATTATGCACATAGCTCTCTACTTAATCTTACAGCTTCATACAAGAGTAAAGGAAGGTTCAGCGAAGGAGAGTTGCAGAAGCAAAGATTATTGGTAGAAGCCATTGTTTGTTTATTGCCAACCCCATCTAAAAGGAGCACAGTTCCACTCGGCTTTCTATCTGGGCTGCTTAAGACATGCCTAGCAGTTGATGCATCTCCATCATCTAGAGAGGAGCTAGAGAGAAGAATTGGCATGCAATTAGACCAAGCTATCCTTGATGATCTACTCATACCCATAAAGTCAAAAGATGATAAAACGCCACTTTTTGACACAGATGCTGTTCATAGGATGTTTATGTATTTTCTTCAGTTGGTAGATGAGGATAGAGAAGGAGAGAGAATGCATGATGGGTCTGAAAGCCCTGGATCTACTGAGCAGAATACCAACCTCAAAGTGTCAAAGCTGATGGACAACTACCTAACAGAGGTTGCAGGAGATCCAAATGTATCTCCTTGCAAATTCATCCCTCTAGCTGAGCTTCTCCCCGACCATGTACGCCTAGTATACGACGGACTCTATCGTGCAATCGACATCTTCCTCAAGGTTTTCATGCTATAATCCTGTTATCTCATCAGTTTCTTGCTCACACAAAATTACCCCATAATCGGAAAACCTCACATTATGTGTATGCCTGTACAGACAGAGGCACACATATATGGAAAGTATCCCTGTGTATAGTGAATGGTATTGGCTCATTTGCATCATTTGCCATAATGACAAATGGTGAAAAGAATGCCCCTTTCACATTACATAAATGGGGGAGGAATAGTTTCATCTCCATCATCCATCATTGAGGCAAATAGTGGACATGAGCCTATTACAGGGGCACAAGTTTTGACTTTTGAGTGTGTTTCCGTGTCTGATGTCTCGTCACATCAGGGAAGCCATTGGGTACGACTCGGGCATATCTGCGGCATGCCTTTACAGAGAACTCATGTCAGGCATGCTCTTGGTGTGTCTGCCATCAGACACATATCCAGAACTCTGGACACATGTCCATCACTTAGACATGCAGGTCCATACTCTGGATGCATGTGCATCAATACTGGACATGCATGTCTTAAATTTTAGTTAACTTTATTATATTGCAAACTAGTTATATATAAATACTAAATACATACGTCAACATAGACTTTTGTATGAACTTTTAGACAGTCATGGAGACAACACTTTATGAGAAACCATGTTAGACACAACGGATTTGCGTCCGAAGCAGATACACACATCCTTGTCCATGTTGTAGATAGGAGCCTACATGATACATGTGTGCAAATACCCCTTGTATCTATATCTATGCCCACATCTGTCTATCTATACCTCTATGCACAAAACACAAACATGCCTAAAAGCACAACTCACCTATTTGTCCAGGTACACCCCAGCATTAAGGAGTCTGAACGCTACAAGCTGTGCAAAAACATTGACTGCCAGAAGCTCTCCCCTGAGGCTTGCAGCCATGCAGCTCAGAATGAGCGCCTCCCTGTGCAGATGGCAGTTCAAATTCTATACTTTGAGCAGCTAAGGCTCAGAAATGAAATGCAAGTAGGCCATGATCACCACTTTGGATCATTCCACTCTTCACAAACTCAAAAGTACAGCGGGGGATCTCCAAGAGACAGCTATGCATCAGTTAGGAGAGAAAACAAAGAGCTTAAGCTTGAGCTAACCAGAATTAGGATGCGCCTCAATGATTTGGAGAAGGACCATGTCTCTATTAGGAAAGAGCTTGTCAAAACAAACCCAGCAAACAAGATTTTAACTTCCTTCACAAAGAAGTTGAAAAAGCTGAATGCTCTTCTTTGGGCCAAAGACACCAAGAAGATAAATAACACAACGAAGGTCCCTTCTGATATCCGTTTCCTAATTCCAAAGAAAAGGCGTTAATTGGTTTCTTGAGAGAGATTAAAGGTTTTATTGAATGAGGAACGTTAAAATAATATAGATATTGTGGCTTCTATGTTGTATTATCAGTACTCAAAAGGTGGTGTAAATATTATGTTGGAGTGAGATTATTGTGCCTGTACTTGTTATTTGTCAGATTGATGGAAATAAAATTACCATGTGGAACTTATCAAAAAACAGAAGAAGAAGAATTCCACGTGGAAGTTTGACAACCTTGTAAACCATGTCTACTCAGATGGGATAAATCAGCTTCCCAACTTTAGATATAGACAAGAAAGAACAACTCCATTTCTAAAGCAATCTATCAATGACTACAAATAAAATTACAGAAGAAACCACAACCACTACACAGAAAGAATGGGACAATTTTTGTTCATTCATCAGATCCGTAACATGATTGCCACAGCCTGGGTCACAAAAAATTGCATGAGAAATTACAAAATGAACCACTATAAAATAAGTCACCATAAAGCTTTAACTGAAATTAAATTTAGAAGAGTCAAATTGACAATGTCAATGCAAAGTTCCATTCCTATCACGGGGCGGGGCCTCTTTCCCCACAGAACTATACCTTCCCTCCCCCCCCCCCCCAACACACACACAAACAAACAAACAAACAAACAAAAAATCTCAGAGGTCACCTCACTAAAACCCTCAAATTGACCCCGCTCAAGTAAATGGAGAGTAAACTAGTCTGACTTGACTTGCACAAGCAAGAAAGCCTAATTTCTTTGATTGGTAGACAGGTAAGCATAGGTTAATATATCTAGCTTTTACAACACATTTTGATTCCTTTACTTATTGACTTATTAATTTATTTTTCCTCACTCCCTAATATACTTTATAATTTATAAGGTTTACTCATTACTTGAAACCAACTCAAATCCACTATAGAACTTACGTGATAACTCCAAACGCAGACCCCACAATTACTCATTCTGTTATTTACATAGATAGATAAGAACCTTGATTGCACTTAAATGTTTCTCGTAGTCCATGCCATCAACATCTATCAACAGGTAGCTCTTTTTTTTCTTTTTGGTGTTAGCACAATTTTATGGCATCCTCTTTCTGTCCATCTTCCCAACATCTGGAAGACCAACACAGATTTTTTTATTGAACATTAGATTTGTCTGTTCTTTTTTTCATTGTTTTTTTTGTCCAAAGCTACCGTTATGAGGGTAGCCTATTTTTTGCTACTTGTACATTTCCTATACTCAATGCTCAATACAATTGTTAACAGTTTCAAAAATTATCTTGAAAGACATTCCATCCAACTGGATTATCGTAAAACTGTATATCATTACTTCATTTTGTATTATGCAATGGTTTCTCAAAATTGCTTTAATTTTGTTTAGTAAATAAATTCATCTAAATTGATTTTATTTTTTTGAGTTTCTAAAATCTGTACCATTTTTTTAGTTTCTTCATCTAAACTAATTTTAGTGATGTTCATCTATTTTTTGCTTATATAGTTTTGGCATTAAAATCCATCACCACAACCTTCAACACAGAATTCCACAGAAGGCTACATAATCACAACTAAGGGCAGTCATAAATTTGTGAGTTGAATACAAACATATATTCAAGAAAGCAAAAATACAAGACACAATCTAACTGAATGCAAAACAAGATGTATCCGAATAACCTATAGAACCATGCCATAAATCAATTAGGTCAGGGCTACACCAAGATCCAGAAAGGAAAAAGTCAAATACAAAATTGTATCCTTCCGAAGTGCTCATTGAAACTAGTCGCTCAGTAGTAAAAGAGACCGCCCTTTTCCAGTCATGGCCAATAGAATGCACCTAGTATAAAATCAATATCTAATCTTTTCAGAATCTATTCCCACAGAATTACATACAGATTTTAAGTAAAATGTTTCATATTTCCTTTGGACGAACCAATTTCATCCGTTAGTCCGACTCCAGAAAGGCCATCATCTGCCAAATAATAAAAAAGGAGCAATAAATAGAAGATACTAGCACTACGAAGGAAATCAAGTATCACTAACGTAATCCAAAGGATAAGAAATAAGAAATCAAGTGAAGCTGTGCAAGAAGAATATAAAACCACAAGATATAAAGAACCAATTGCTTCTATCAAAAATTTCCAGCATGCACAGAGGAGTTACAATGTCTTCTTATCCAAAAGCACCTCAAGAACCAGGATTGCTATTTGACAATAGCACTGGCACATGGAAAACATAGGCTTCACAAATGTAATCACATCTTAACTACATTGCTCAGTCAAAGTAACTGGGGATGGCAATTAAGGAAAAAATTTAGGCCAGCAAATTTTCAGAAGAGCTTCGCTGTAAGATCCACCCACTTGCAATCAAGTTCTTTTTTATTTCCTTTCATATTTTTTAACATCCTTTATTTTAAATGCATACCTCAGCAATCGTTTGAACTGACTCTAGGAGGAAACAGGGGCCACAGTGAACCCTCATTACAGGAGATGCTTAAATGCAGATACAATGGCAGCAAGTATCACATGAACGCCTAGTCTACTTTTATTTATTTATAGATAGCAACTATGCATCATATGAACTTAATTAAATTATCTCTTTATGGTTGCGTTATAATGTTCTCCATTTCATTCTAATTATGAGATGGCTATGAGTGGCATATTTGCAATCCATTCATTAATGAGTATACCTAACCTTTGATTTGGCATCTATGAAGATTTGGGCAAGAGCACCATTACCCAGTGATGAGTTCTCTATATCATCCATTAGGTCTCAGCTAATGTTCAGAAACTCAGCCGGGTACACTGGGGCTCAGTCCCTCACCAAGCCGAGTACTCAGGTAAAACTTGGGCTAACTAAAAGACTTAAAAAAAAAAAATTATTATATAAATTTTTCAATTATTTTTTAGGGCTTTTTTGGCTGAGTACACTATCAGGTGAGCTCACTCGGACACGTCCAAGTAACTTGGCTTGGGCCAGGGGCGTGTCCAGGGCCCGAGCTGAGCTCCATAGCATTCATGTAAACTTTCAAGTTTGAATGTAGCTTATTTATCCATAAAAAAGTTCTGCGTTCCTTGTAATATGGATACCTTGCATAAATCATGCTAGTCAGGTCTGAATCCTAACTTATGAATAGGAGAAGAAAAGAAAAAAAGTCAAATGATACTGAGATAGACACGAGCTCTAGAAATGGGCAAATCAAAAAATTCGATAAATATAGGAACATGGAACTCCCAAGAAAACCAAAAGTATATGATATGTTAGAGCTTTCCATGTTAATCACATGTCAGATCTAAAAATAAACTATTAAAGACTAACAAATATCATGAAACACCGAAAGAATGAAAAAGCTTGGATGTTACCTGACTTAAGATAGTTAGCTTTCAAGATAACCCTCCCAAGTTGTCAATTTCTTATTCACCTAAAAGAACTGAAGAAACATTTGAATTTATGAGTTTTGATGATGGCCAGCTGGAATGGAAAATCTAACTGTCTAACGAACGTTTGAAGGAATTATGTGCTCTAGTCCATAACTTGTCTTATTTTCATCATCATCAGCATTGACACCTTATCAGAATGTAAACACCACATGTCTTTATTCGAGATCAAGGTTCTTCTTCATAGACTCATACACTAGATAAGTGATGCTAGCAGAGGGCACCACTTTGAGCATATTTGGAAAGATACCCTTGTAAAATCCAGAAATGCCTTCATGTTTGAGGGTTCTCCAAAATACATCAGACATTCCCTTATAACCCTCTGTTGTTTTTGTGTATTGAGCTTGCATTCTGGAAATATCAAAACAGTTTAGCTGCTACAGAGAACATCAACGAGATCACTATCTACTTTTTGATAATCTATTTTGAAGATTGAGTAGGAAGACATGGATCAGATAATCATATACTACCTTGTTCGTATAACCTGCAAGGGATAAACGCATGTAGCTCCCAGGGCTCCTGATATTGTTCCACAACCAAGTTGCACAAGAGGACCAGGCTCTACATAATAAAAGAATATAAACTATGATGACAGGAAAGATTACCAATAAAAGAAAAACACCAAGAGATTTACATTCATTTAACTCTCTTCTGATTAATAAGTTCAAATTCTTTGACTATAATTAGTATTCCATACAGTTCATAAAATTTGCACATAAGAGTCCGAACAATTGCATAATAAATAATTTATTTAAAAGTTTGAAATTTAACTTGCAAAGTTACAATAAGATATGATGACAGTAAAGATTACCAATAAAAGAAAAACACCAAGAGATTTACATTCATTAACTCTCTTCTAATTAATAAGTTCAATTTCTTTGACCATAATTAGTATTCTATACAGTTCATAAAATTTGCACATAAGAGTCCGAACAATTGCATAATAAATAATTTACTTAAAACTTTGAAATTTAACTTGCAAAGTTACAATACCTTCGCCAATTTTACGTTCCTTTTAGCTTTCACAATTCCCTCAATCAAACAAAAAATTAAAAAAAAGTATCCTGCAAAGATGACAACGAAGAAACAACATCTTTTCAACGAATACTTCCATGAGAAGTGTTCAATACAAATTAGAGAGGATGTGGACGGTAGGACATTAAAGATACTCATTTCCTCTGAAATGAACGCTTCAAGATTATAGACTTCCGTCTTGCCAAATTGCTAATAGCTTTTATGTTCCACAACATACATATAACTAAAATAAAACATGTGTAAACTGTAAAGTTAAGCTTCCATGAAATATGGAACCTTAAGGTCCTTCACAGCTTGGACACCAGAAAATTACCATAAGAAGGAAACAATAAGTGTCCCTAAATCATCAATGGCAGAAACCATACCACTATCGTGAAGAAGATGGATTCTTGACAGATCTTTCAAGGTCTCATATGCAGCAAGATCGATGCCTGCATAAGGGATAATCCCGAGCAGGGATGGAAAGAGACCTCTATAAAATGCTCGAGGCCCCTCATGAACCCATATATCTCTTGACAACGCTCCTAATTTGGGAGGTTTTCCATTTTCACAAGCACATGTCTGTAGCCTTGTTTTCACAAGATCCATAGGGTAAATTGCAGTTTGGGCCACAGCACCTGCCAATCCACCAGAAAAAAGGCGACCTGCTGTACCAATATCACTCTTATTTTCACCTCTAGCATTGACCACAAAAGTCTTCAACATTTCATAAGCGTAAAACTTGATTGCACTTTCAGGTGCAACTTTCAAGACATTGATGCCATTTCCTCTAAAAAAGCCCAAGAAACGACCTTCTCTCCAAATATCCTTTATGGCAGGCATTAGATGAGCACGAGTCGTTTGTACTTGCAACTTTACTTTTATACGATCTAGTGGTGCAGTTGCTGTACGTGAAGTCGCTCCGGCTACCCCACCAGCAATCAGGTATTTGCTTGCATGCACATGCTTACTGATTCCTTCTGGTATAACTGCCTGTTCTCCAATATCTACAAGACAAACTCTTTCCCAATACTGATATATGTTTTCAATAGTTGCCTCATGAGGATACAGTAGAAGGAAATCTCTCCATTCTTCAAAAGTAATTATACCATTATTATCCTTGTCCACATGTTCTACAAAACGAGCTAGTTCTTCATCATCAATTTCAATGCCTGCAAAAGGGAAACTGGCATGGCTTATAATTGATTGAAACATTTCACTTCAAAAATGAATGTTAACTCCTGGACAGATTACAATTACAATTAATGCAGATAACAAGTATTCAAGTTCAGACCCATTTAAACAAAATAGTAGTTTCCATCCTGTAGTGGCCAAGGTTCAAAAACTCGGCTTGGGTTCAAGTCTAGGCCCTGCCCGGGATGAGTCCAAGTAGAATCACCTGAGTGGTTTACAGGATAAAACAAGCCCTAAAAATAAAAAATAAAATAAAAATATAATTATCAAACTAAACTGAAAAAAATTAAAAAGTCCAAATAAGATGAAAAAATATATAAAAAATGGATTAGTAAAATGATTTACAGCTGGAGATATTTCAGAAAAAACAAAAAGGTATATGACAAGAAACACTAAAAAATAATAATCAAAAAATCAAAATTACATATAAAATATTTATTTGCTGATTTTAACAATTTAACATAATTTTATGATATTTATTAAATATCCCCGAGTTTTACCCAAGTACTTGGCTCGGCAAGGGGCTGAATCTGAATAACTCAGCCAAGTGTTTGATCACTCGTAGTGGCAAATGGTTACAAAAGGTGAACAATGAGAATTACTAGGACTCACTGCTGTATATATCAAGTGCCCAAGATGCATATTATTAACAATGAGGGTCATATGAAGGAAAATAATATAACATAGCATCAACATTTTGATAGGAAAAATGTTAAAACTTCATATACATGAATGTACAGTCCTGTGTGGCACTCTAAATTCTGTTATGTTTGGCACCAAATATCGATCCAAGAGTGTGTACATGTTGAACATGTAATTTAGATCTACTCTTGTGCACGATAAAGACACCCTAAATTTCCACACTAGCATTCTAGCTGGTCTCATAAACCATCTATAACTGCTTACAGTATCTTTTTGGAGATGTTCTTCTCAAATCCTAACATGTCTTTAACAATAATATAAAACCATACAGGGCTTCATGCATGCCCAATAATTTATCCAGGAACCAAGAGCATTCTAATGTTAACCAACATCCCATTAGGCTTTGTGTAGATTTACACTGAGTCTTGTTTTAAACGTTTACTTAGTTTACACTGAGCTATGTGCAAGAACTAGAATAAAAAGTTATCACCACCAAATGCACAACTGAATCATGACAAAAAAAGATATTCCTGCAACTTCTGCTTGCTGGTAATGCCAACAAAAATTTACTTGAAGCATTCATAATGAAATGACCAGTTATGGCATCAACACAACAACAGGCCTAATTACCATATGCAAAAACTTTTGAAACTATAGATGCTTACTGTTAGTCTGGAAAAAAAAGAAACAAATGGCAACACTTACATGACTAGCAGACTTCAGTCATGTTAAAATACACTCTCCCAAAAATAAACAAAGGGGCAAATTTATAATATCAGTTTACTATTTCATTTCCGGAAACTCTCATTTCAAGTTTGCAGCCCCGTTCAGGTAGTTAGGGACTTAGAACTGCAAGGAATAAGAGGTTAAAAAGACAGAAGTCTCGGAGTCAGTATTTCCCTTTGCCTAAAGCACATTTGGGAGGAACACAATGAAGGACAACCAACGGATCAGAAAAACAGTGTGGATAAGGATATAAGGAGTGCAGATAGATGTTTCTAAATAGAGAGTTGAGCAATGAACTTTCAAGAAATTAAGGGACGGATGTGATTCTAATTGATGCCTTTATTCTGTTGGGTTTCTTTTTCCCATCGAGTGTTATCTCATATCATAGTGAGCTTCTTATCCCACTCATGGTTGTTTACTGCTCATGTCATTGTTCCTATTGGGGCACATTCTTTGATCACCTCCTGATGTCCCAAATTCCAAGTGATGCACTTTTTATAGCATTCTTTTTATTTGGCAGATTTCTGTTATGTTTCATTTTTTCCATCGAGTGTTTGTCTCATTTTATAATGAGCTTCTTATCCCACTTGTTGTTCTTCACTTTTCATGTCGGTATTCCATCGGGGCACATTATTTGATCCTGTCCTGTTGTCATAAATTCCAAGTAATGCGCCTTTGACCAAATTCTCTTCATTTGGTAGAATTTCTCCATGTAGATAGTGTGTATCTAACTGGGATAAATGTTCAAGAGTCATTCATCACAGGGAAATTAAGCTATTCAAGATAACCTCTCAACTTTTACATTAAGAGAAATGCACTTACACCTAGGTGAGAAATTCAATTGCAGATATGTAAAACGCCTTTTCTCTACAGGCCCAATGTCACGATTAAAGACAGTAAGTAGTAACTCAAATCCTTTGGAGGTTGTCAACTTGTTGGATCGTGTCTTATGTAAGTAATATTAAACATAAACTTGATAAGACCAAGTCATCCCAAGTATTTAAGAGCATTCTATCTCCAGAATCAAGGAATCAAAAACCAGCAACCATATTCAAAACTTGGCTGAGACAATTCTCATTGACATTGTCCAGAGTAAAAAAAGAGAAGTTTCCACCATGAATGGCATAATTATTCACCCTTGACACACTAAAGGTTCAAAAAACCCCATGACAATTGCTGATAAAATCAGCTCAACTAATAATCATATAATCACATCCAAACGGTTCTGTAATTGACATACAAACTAGCAAAAAAAAGTCTATAATTACCAAAAATCAACTCAATTTTTAGGTACCAGTGTCAAAAATCAAATCTGAGGCTCTCTGAATTCTCTCATTTAAAATTTTAAATCAACAAACAACAAATGATACTAATCCACACAAATAACTCAATTTACCGGCTTGTTTTTGTTTAGCAACATTATTCATATCTCACAACAACAAAACAGAAATCGCTCAATAAACAACAAAATTATGCAAATTCCCTCCTTTTTCTCGTCTAACAACACGAAATCAGCAAACAAACAAAAATCAAACAATGAATTAGCCGAAAACAGCACAAATTTTGCAACCTACCTGCCTTAAGAAGAGCATCTAATAACTCCTCTGGTAAAATGCAACCATTATGCTCTACGTCAATGGCCTGAAAAATCCTATAAAGCTCAAGCTCCTTATCATCCATGTATCTCCTAAACTCTTGATAATCCACTCTCCCATCTCTATTCATATCACAAACCCTAAGAAGATCCTTAGCATACTTATATTCAGCTGGAATTTGCAGAGCCATAAGGCCTGCTTCGATCTGAGCATAATCCAAATACCCGGTGTTCTGAGAATCAAAGAAATTGAACAAACTCCGAAGCCTCATTTCTCTCTCTTCTTTGGTCTCTCTAGAAGCTAAAAGAACATGATCCATAGTCACTGGACCAGGCTTACGCACAGGGTTGCAACCGGCTGAGCGGCCACTTTTGGGCTTAGAGCGATCGCAGGCCATCGATTTCTGGTCCATTTTAGAGAAGAGGTGATCGGTGGCTGGAGTCGCACTCGACATTGCCGGATCGACAGGTTTTGGCGGGAAATTGGCCGGAAAGAGTTGCAGCGGTTAAAGGGGAGAGGTCATTTTAGAGAGAGAAAGGGAGGGAAGGTCATTTTAGAGAGAGAAAGGGAGGAGAAGGCCATGGGGGTGTGGATCGGTGGTGGCATCGTGGTCTCTCGCTCTTTCTCTCTCTTCTCTCCTTCTTTATTCTAGAGAGAGAAAGAGGACATGTTCTTTTGCTGGATCTGGTGTAGCGTGAGTCTTGCGATAATGGGCCAGTTGATTTTTTGTGGGGTCTCTCCATTTTTGTGAATTATTTTTATTTAATAACTGTATCAAAATACATTTAAAAGGGCTATTATATAGCATTTTATTCATGCCAAATTTTCTAAACCATCCTATTTTATTATGAAAATTAAAAAATTATCACGTATAATTTATATTTTAACTTTAAGCCCTTTTCTTTTTTTACTTTTATACTATATATTGTATTTTAATTCTATTTTTTTTATATATCGGATTAAGCTCAAGATTCGAGATATCATGCTTCTTACCGTCTCACTTTTCTAAGGATTGCTAATAATATTTTAAAATAAATAAAATGACCAAAACAGCCTTAATTTTTTAAAACTTATAAGGAAGTTTGGTCATTTTTATTCAAATTAGTTATACTTTTTTTATAGTTTTTTACAAGTTTATTACATATGAGAATTGTAGATTGAGCTACATTAAAAAGAAATAAAATTCAAATATATATTTGCTATAAAAATAGAAATAAAATGTAAAGTATAAAATATATGGGAGTATTTTTAAAAAAAAATTTAAAAAGATTTGCTCTCAAATTCCTTGTATTCATTTAAGGAAAATTGTTTCATACATCTTAAAGATGGATGCAAGTAGGTGTTCCATCGAAAAATAATCGAAACTAATGTCCAAATGTTTTCTTTCTAGAATTGTTATTTCTAGTTTTTAAATTTAGTTATTTATTCATATTTATGATCTCCATGTTAGATAGTACATGTCTTCAAAAATTAATTCCTAAAATCCATCTCAAATAGATTTATTAAGGGGCCCGCATTTCTACATACGAGGGTTTGCCCGTACAAAAACTGCGTCATTTAATTAAAATAAAAAATTAATTTAAGATGCAATGTATATTAATATTATTTTAAAATGCTCAACAATTTTTTATATTATTTTAAAAAACATGTCAAATCTACAGCTGTCCAATTAAATATGCATATATAAAATGTTAACTTTATAATACGAAAGTGAAGCCTACCTCAAAAATCCATCGGATAATGTTATTCAGTGTGTGAAAAATCGCTAATGGATTTTCTTGACCTCATGATGTATGGGTATGAAAATAAATGATTTTGAGTTTTAGAAGTAAGGACCCGATTTCTATACGGCCAAGCTCGTGTATGTAGAAATGCGGACCTCTTAATAAATCTATTTTTGAGATGGATTTTAAGATTTAATTTTTAGAAACATGGAGATCATGAATATGAAAAAATAAATAAATTTAAAAAACTACAAGTAATAATTCTAGTAATAAAACATTTGGAACGTTAGTTTTCAGTGTTTTTAGATGGAACACCTACTTGCATCCATCTTTAAGATGGATGCTTTACATTTTCTGGACCGCATATGTAGAAACACGGTCTAGCCTGCATGAAACGATTTTTCTAAAAATAATACATTTTATAACACTTTGGGCCATTAATTTTCAAGATTTTATAGCATTTATAGATCGATTTGCTATCATTTTTTGAACTCCAAATTTTACTGTTAGGAGCGAAAACATATTTTCAGGGTATTGTAAGGTGCGTCTCACTTTGAAATATACCCAAAATACCAACTATCGTGACCTGTTATTAATCTCCTTTGATGAGATTATTGAAATTTAATAGGAATCAGAGAGTTGTTACGTATTTGATAAATTATTATTCCGATAGATTATTATTCTGATAAAGTACCAACATAATATTGTGTCAATTTTTTTTTTTTGATGATTATTCTATTAAAGTAATTATAATTTTTATTTCATTTATCAAAAAATACACTCAAAAGTAGGACTATTTAACATTTTAAAGGTCAAAAGTCACCCTTGGTCATCAAATGGGTGCGTAATTTTTCCTAATAAAGTTTGAAAAATATCAGATTTTTTAGCCAATCGCTGAGACGTATTGTGCCGCCTGATTGAGAATCTGACGGACAAGGTGATTATGACCGTTATGTATAAAGTTAAATGATTTTTATTGTATAATTTGTCTTTCATTAATGATTTTGTTGGTTCGGCGATTAGCACGTGTAAGAAAGACCGCCAAAACGATGTCAAAGTCCACTTTCATTTTTCAACGATTTTGTATAGGTCCTAGCCACTAGCGACTGAAAACCAACCAACACATTCCATGCCTTTTTCACTCTCTCTCTCTCTCTCTAAAGGAAAAAAGTTATGCAAGGATGCTACCTCATAATGTAGAACTACGGATGCCTCTAAAAAATCCATTTGTAAATGTAGTTTTAATGTTAAAAAACCCATTGATTAGTCATCTGGACATTGAGATATATGACTAAAAAAAATTAAAAAAATTTAAGTTTAAAAAAATAGTCTATTTTATAACATATTATCTACACCGTCAATTTTCAAGATTTTCATAGGTTTACGGATCTAGTTGATTTTAACCATTTTTTAAATTTAAAATTTTATAATTAAATATAAAAATAGATTTTGAGATAATCCTAAAAACATTTTACATCAAAAATATATACTATAATAAAATTTAAAAGGCACCTTACCTCTACACCTATGGAGGCGTCCGTACACAAACTACACCCCTCTCTAAATGTACTTTGGTATGTCTCTCCACTCTAATAAGTGCTCTTTGGTGTCTCTAATTTTCTTAGTCTCTCTCAAAGTGCAGGTGTTTTTACAAAACTTGTATTTCTCATTCACAAATCCATCTTTGTCCATGCTGCTAACTATATGTTTTGTCATGTTTTTGGTTCATTTTGTTACAAAAAACGAAGGGGGAAACTCAATACCAAGTGCTTAGCAATCTTTGGTACAGTTTATTCATGATTTCGTGCCGAACCCGGTAAACGAACAAATAGGTGGTCTTTTCGGAAATGTTTAACAAAAGTCTTTCCCTCGCATCTCAGTCACTTCTACTTTTTCGTTATTTCGTAATCCCTAAAGTATGATACTATATAGCTTCACAGTGATAAGTCATTTTCTCATTACTTTGGGTCTCTCATTTCCTATTTGTATTGGCATTACTATTATGGGATTTCAAATAAATGGGCTTCATTTTTTAAGCTTCTCATTACCCACAGGAGTCCCACTGCCGTTAGCACTTTCTTAGTACTCCTTGAGCTAATCCCTCATTGTTTTCACGTATTAAGCTCAAGAATACGTTTATTTGCTAATATGATGGCCAGTCATAGTTTAGTGAAGATTTTAAGTGGGTCCGCTTGGACCATGCTCTCTCTCTAAGTGCACTTTGGTGTTTTTAAGTCTCTCTTTAGTGCACTTGTTGTTTCTAAGTCTCTCTCTCCAAGTGCACCTTGGTGGTGTAAGTTTCTCTCTAAGTGCACTTTGTGTGGTGTTTCAATTGACTATTTATTATAATTATTAAAGCATTTAAATAAGGGATTCTATACAATGAGACCATTTACCTTTGAAACAAGGTGGACACAACTCTTTACAACTATTTGATATGAAATTTGATAGCTTGGATGTGTCACAAAGTACAAAAAAAATTTCTTTTGAAATTTAAGCTTGGTCAATGAAGTAATTGCAGCCACCCAATTTCACAACGAATGGTCAAGATTAATGTGATTACTTTGTATCAAACGTAAATGGTCTCATTCTAAATTTTACCTTTAAAAAAAATATTTAAGTAGTTGAATAACTTATTAACATTCTCTCTAGGTGAACTTTGTATGGTGTTTCTATTGGTAAAATATTATTATAATGGTTAAAGTACTTAAGAAAATTATTTAAGTGGTTGGCTAACTGGTTAATAGTAAAATTGGTTGTTTATAAAAATGTCATTTTGCTGAATATTTTTTTACATTTTATTAAAAATACTGACAAAAAAAAATGCTGATAATGTACACTCGAAACAATTAAATGTATTTTGATAATTCTATCTCGCTTAAATAGAGCGACACAAATGTTGTAAGCAGTTATTTAAAAAACGCCTGGTTGATACATAATCGCCCAATTTGACCCTAGAATCTATTACTCCATTCCGATAATGCTTATAAATCGGAAAAGAGCCAAGTCTAGAAGGGAACCGACGGTTTCGCACAGTAAAACGGCGATTCTCGATAGTAAAACGACAATCCAGAGATTCACCGATCCAGAACAGTTTTTGGCTAGTTCGCTGTTTCTTCATGTGTTTTTTCTCTAGTTCATTGTTTTTTTTGCACAATAAAACATCGATCCGAACTGTGCGACGCGGGTCACCAATCCATATTTTTAAATCACTGGGTATAGGTATCTCTACTTGTTCTAAGTAATTAAGAAAATTTGTCAAAATATACCAAATTTGTCAACTGTTTAGTAATTTAGTCATTTTCAAATGGGTGCAGTTGGCATACAGATGCATCCGTAGGTGTAGAGCTAAAGTGCACCTTCAAATTTTATCATGGTATATAATTTTGATGTAAAATGTTCTTAGGATTATCTCAAAATCTATTTTTATATCTAATTATAATATTTTAAATATAAACAATAGTTAAAATCAAGTAGATCTATAAACATATGAAAATCTTGAAAATGGACGATGTAGATAATACGTTGTAAAATGCACTATCTCTAAGGCTTAAAATCTTTTTATTTTTCATAGTCATAGATCTCGATAGATGTCGAGATGATTAAAGGGTTTTTCAACATTAAAACAGCCTTTTCCGATGGATTTTTGAGGGGCATTCGTAGTTCTACATTATAAGGTAGCATCCTTATATAAACTTTTTTCTTTTCAAATATTTCAACTCCTGATTTTGTGTATCTTGATGGAACTGCATTTAAATAAAATGAAATGGTTAAAGTGGTTAATGGTTTATAATAGATTAAGGGATAAGAAAAGGGCATCTTGGTATCTTACACTTTTAGAAGATTATGCGCCATATAACCACTACATTCTTATTAGGCCAAGATTGCAGATCCTAAATAGATTCCTTTTCCTAGTACTTGATGAGGTAATTACTGAAATAATTTTATTAACAACGACTAATTTATCAATTAATT